GGATGATTCCTTTCGAGGTCTCTTACCTCCTCCAATAAGGAAGCAAAGCTAGAGAACTGTCATGTTGCTACTGGACGGATGATTCCTTTCGAGGTCTCTTACCCCCTCCAATGAGGAAGCAGAGCTAGAGAACTGTCATGCTGATACCGGACCCTGATTTTGCCCCTCAGACCAAGAGGTTTTGCAGATTTTCCCCTGCTCCCTCAAGCTGCAGACAGCCAAACTCCAACCCAGGTGTCTAGCTTCCGAAAAATCAAGAGAGTCACTCAAAAATCAAGAGAGCCACATAAGGCTCTTCTCCCCCTCTTGGGTGAGGCCTTGGCAGAGGAAAAAACAATGCACTTAGCCAGAGGTGAAAGGATGCCATGGAGTGCAGCTCCGGCAAGAGCTGGCTGAGCAGCGGCAAAAGAGCTGGCTGAGCAGCGGGGAGCTATTTACAGAGCTGGCAGGGACCCGTGTTGCAATAGGACAGTGCCTGTAAGAAATGTTAAGTTCCTTTCACCACTGTATGTAGCATACATTGCCACCTAAAAGTTATACAACGAGCAGCCAAACGAGGTAGGATGTGGGAGAAATCACGGCAGCAGGGGAATTATTTGACAAGTGCAGGCCCTTTCTTGCAACCGCAAAATGAACTGGGAGTCATATACCTAGGCTTTTTCAGATCAATGGATCATACCTAGGTTAACTACCCTATTAAATACGTGTCTTCAATCAGTTTGCTAAACCAAACGCTGCGTAATGGTAAGTTCTGACCCAGCACGTAAACTGTACCCTAAACCAAAAGCTGCGTATCTGGTAAGTTCTGACCCAGCACGTAAACCGTACCCTAAAACAAAAGCTCACTGGTCTTTATATAGGGTGTCTATGTGTTACATTATAACACGTCCCACCTGGAAACAAGACATGGAAAAAGATATAGGGTGTCTGTGTGTTACATTATAACACGTCCCACCTGGAAACAAGACATGAAAAAAAAAAGAGTTCCACTTTAGGGCTTCAGTTCTGGATGGGAACTTTTCCCCACATCTCCTGAAATGACTGACAAGAGACTTTGGAACAGGGTTCCCGTATGACCTGTTCATTTCAAGAAGCAGGCAGAGGCTGGGTTTTGAGATGACTTCTCTGGGAATTCTCCAGGAGCGTTATTCTGTGACACTGACATCAGAGGTTGGGGAAACTCAAACAGCTGTTTCTGATGCTGAGACTGCTTCCCAGAAATTGTGAAGCTTAGGGCTTGCAGTTAAATGTACCCCTGTTGTATTTACCTGTTGTCAATTTCACATGTCCAGAGCCCAGAATTGGGGCTAAGCTATTTTTCATGGCATTCACAGGAAGGTGAAGAGGTGAGCTGTGCATTTAACCCTTGCTGGGCTAGCATTTTCTTGCTTACCAGAGAGATGGAGGCATAAGAAGAGGGCTAAATGGAGAACATCTTCCAGGCACTGTCTGTCCAGAGCCTTAACTTTTCCCCAGCACACATGGATTTTGAAAGAGACTGAGGGCAAATTCAGAGCTGGTGTAAGTGTGTGCAGCGACACTGACTTCAATGTTTGGTCGACAGTAAGAGATCTGGACACACCCCATCTGGTACCATCTACCAGCTGTGGCTGACCGCAGGACTCAACTCTGCTCCCAACTGAGAGACACGTCTTGGCTCCTGCATGACCTGACACAGCTAGCAACCTTTGCAAACAGCTGTGCTGCATACTGAGGTTGTGGGTTCAAATCTCCATCCCGGAGTGACTGGGATTTGAAACCCTAGCACAGGGGTGGGCAACAGGGGCCACTTCACAAATTTTTGAAGTGACCCCAGGCTGCCCAGAAGGGGTGGGCCTAAACCAGAAGGGGGCGGGGCCAGTATGCTTCTGGGCTACCCCACCCCCAGACCATGATTGGTCTGGGGGTGGGTGAGCCCCTTTGCCCCCTCCTTCCCACTAGGCACCCATGCCCCTGGAAGGGCAGGAAGAGGCTTCCCATGCTCCCCCACCCCCAGGCCAATCAGGGCCTGAGGCAGGGGAGCGCAGGAAGCCTCCTCCCACCCTGCAAGGAGAATGAGGAGAATGCGGCACTCCCCCTGTCCCCACTGCATAATTCCCCACCCCTCAATCTTTATCTATGTCCTCGTAGAGGGGAGAATCACCCTAGCCTCCGTGCACCTACAGGCATTAACTAATTCATCTTTATAGCCTAACTCAGGTGGGTAAATAAAGCTCACACCCGTATTTTACAAATAGGGAAACTGAGGCATAGAGGGTGACTCTCGCCCACAATCAGAGCTCAAGTTTGAAGCTCAGAATTTCGTGCTTCCCATCGCTAAGGTCGGTCCACTAGAGGGCGCTTCTCTCTCCGAGTGACCTGGGACTCAAGGTGCCTCGTGGGAACCTGGACTTCTCAAGCCGGAGCCTCAGAGAGCAGCAAGTAAAAGCCAGGGCCCAGCGCCAGAGGGCCACTGGCCTTCTGGTTACATTTCCAGATTGCAAACAGATTCCTCTTTCTCACTCCTGGAATGTACGGGGTTCCCCACCTTCTACCCCGGCAAAACCAGATGTTTTATCCTTGGGCCTCGGTCGACCCTTGCGTCCCAGGAGGTCTCTCCCTGGGAACCTTGGAGTCCCCCTATTGCTGGGTGTGCCAGTCCGCAATGGACTCCACCGCCTTCCATTCACTCCTCTTCTGTACATGGGAGTGGGGGAAGTCTCGAGACACGAAAGCACGAGGTGCCCTGAGACCAAGGAACCCCAGCAGAGGAAAGGAAGCGGGAAGAAGCTGGCGGGTTTGGTTCTGATCTCGTTTAAACTGGCTCAGCTCCAAGGGATAACTCCGATATCGTCAGGGGAGTAAGAGATGAGCACAGGACCTGAGCAGAGCCATGCCCAGGTGCTGGTGAAAAGCTAGGACGAGGCTGTTGGCCAAAGCAGCCTAGCCAAAGCATATAGACCCTAGCCTTTCGGGAGGCCCGGAGTTGCTGCGACTATTTATAGGGCTCGCGGCTTCTGCCCTTACAAGGGTAGCACCACAACCAAGAGCAAGAAGACCTTTCAATAGGATCCTGCTGGCTGAGCCACTGCTTGGAAATTCAGTGGCACAGGCAGCAGGATATAAATAGAAAGCGGCCAGATGCAGCCAAAGTGTTAGGTGGGCCAGATTCGGCCCTCGGGCCGCATCTCACCTTGCCCTGATATAGACCATCCCTGAAAGCTGTTTGTCTAACCTTCTCTTAAAAGCCTCCCTTGATACAGATTCTACAACCACCCTCGGCGATACAGTCCAGAGTTTAACCACCCTGCCCAGGAGAAAGTTTTCCCCAATGTCCACCCGAAACAACCAATGTCCTAGGGTATGTCTAGAAAGTTTTCCCCAATGTCCTAGGGTATGTCTAGACGACAGGCTTTTGTCGATAGAAGTTTTGTCGACAGATGCTGTCGACAAAGCTTCTGTCGACAAAGAGCGTCTAGACGACATCCAGTTCTGTCGACAAAGCAAGCCGCTTTGTTGACATGACAGTGTAGACGCCAAGGACAGTGTAGATGTAATAACGCCTTCTGTCCACAGAACTCTGTCGACAAAAGGTGTTATTCCTCGTAGAATGAGGTTTACCGCCGTCGACAAAACTGCTGAGTTCTGTCGACGTTATATCGACAGAACTCAGCGGCAGTGTAGACGCAGGTATAGTTTTGTCGACAAAAGTCCACTTTTGTCGACAAAACTCTGTAGTCTAGACACACCCTCTGATACTCTGCTGAGCACCCCTCAATTTCTTTCCCTCTTCCTTGCAACAATCTTTCATCCACTTGAAACTACTACCCTGTTCCCCCCCCTCCTCCTCCCCCTCCCAGGCTTCTCTTTTCTCAATTAAACAAACCCAGGTCTTTCAGTCTTTCCTCCTACGTCACGTTTTCTAGACCATTCATCCTTTTGGTGGCTCTTCCCTGGACCCTCTCCAATTTCTCCCCATTCTTCCCGAAATGTGGTGCCCAATACGGAACCCAACACTCCAGTTGAGGCCTAATCAGTGTAGAGTGGAAGAATGGCTTCTTGAGTCTCGCTTACAGCGCTCCTGCTAATACATCCCTCTTGATTCAGTCCCTCAACATCCTAACCCGTCCGCTCCTGCCACCCCTGGCCAGTAGCATCTGCAAGATGGACAGTGATGAGTTTAGATGGAACTGCCACGGTCCTTCCCCACGTTCCCTGAAACAGGAGAGATTTTGTTCCTCCCTCTTGCGAGAAGGCTGGGAAACCGGACAAACAAACAAGCCACCAAAGGAAGCCTCTAGGCCCAGAGAAGGCAGCTCCTGCTCTATGCGTTGGTGCTCTCCTGGGAAGGTTGCCGCAGGCACCGAGGGCTGTAGCAGAGGGGGGAGGAAGGAAGGTGGGTGCTGAGAAGACGGAGAACTCACACACAATGGTCCCATTCATGACGGGCCTAGACATGGGCTTCGGCCCTTCCTGATCAGACACAATAGGGGCGTCTCCGCTCGCCCCTTGTGTGCATTGTCAGCAGGTAGCCGGCCCACACCCCTCCTTTCTGTCCCCCATTGGATAATGGCAGGGCATTGTGTGCCTGGCTGGACGAGGACTTTGTTTGGGAGAAAAACTGTGTTTGTCTGTCAGGGGGGGATCAGCCAAGAAAGAGAGAGGGAGGGGCTGGGGCCAGCCCCCCCTCCTCCCCCTCCCTCCTCTCTCCGCTTTGCCCCCACACCCAGTTATAAATATTCAAAGCGCTGCCGAGGGAAACGCGTCTTTGGAACGT